TTCCATGCAGTGAAATTTTGATGAGAAAAGTGCAGTATTTCAAAACAAGTTTAATATGGAATATGCAAGAATGAGATACTAGTCAATTTCAGATGGATTTTATTTTTCCCCTCAGCTAATGGATCTCAGGTCCATGTTACTGACGAACATTCCAAATTAGACCATGGAACTTAAAACAGCTTTTGTGTTAGAACTCATTGGCCTGTTGCGAATGTGATAATTAATCTCTGGCTGAAGGTATAGGACTTTTAAAATAAAGGAACACAAAGAGAGGCAATTGGGGATATCAAATAAATTGTCTTAAAGTTATTTAGCAATAATGGAAATTTTTTTTAAAAAAAATACTTGCCGTGATTTAGTCTGCATTCATTTAAACTTCTTGCAATTAAAATAACAATTTTTCTTGCAGTTCAGATAACAATTGTTTTGAATCACAGGCCTTTGAATGAAGAAAGAGTCGAGAAACTAAAATCCTCTGCCTGTCTGAAACTTAGACTGCTGGCTGTATAACCCAAACTTCCTTTTCCTTTGATTTGCAGCGATGTTGTAGTCTCTATTACATGCATAATGTAGGGAGGGTCTCCAGAGAGAACAGTCCCCACTGATAAGATTAGGGGGAGTGTCTCAGACTCGAGTTTAGATAATCAAGAAAGGATCACCAAAGAAATCCCTCTCTAAGAGGGATGCACAGAACGAGCATGCAGTGAACAGGATGGTCTTTCAGTGCACCAGCTGTCACAAGGCCTAAAATACCGGCTGCATCTCTCTAAGTACAGAGTATGATGTTTGTCACCAGCTCCACTGGTGCTGGCCTATCTTACTGGAAAGCTTTAAACTTAACTCAAGTCTCTGAATTGATGCACCGTACCCAGAGAAAACAGGTTAGATGCTGCATTTCTTTTTTCTGTATAACTTCTTACCTGTCCTGGACTTGTTTTCTTTTCGTGTGATTGTTGGCACTTTTGTTTTCACGAAGTCCTTGTTTTGGTGTGCTGCGTGTCTTGAAACTGATCACATTGTTGAAGGTAATCATATCAAACAGTATTTGGGTCGTTATCAACAGGTTTGGCTGGTGCTAGATGCTGCTGGTGTATTTGGTATGCAGATGCCTTAATTGGTAGAAGGAGGTTGGGATGAGATGGCCTTAAAACAAGTGTTATATGAAAAGCAGTGAGTGAAAGTTGTAGTGTAAGGTGAAGAGAAAAAGAGCTGGTAGCTAGCTTTTGTGGTGTTTATTTCCAAGCTATTGCTTTAGTTGGTAAAGACTGCCCCCTAATGGAAGAGGTCAGAAGACATAATAAAGCGCCCTCCTAACTAAACTACAGTATAATACTAGGTGTTAGGTTTACAGAAAATCAGAGCTATTAAGGTCACTAAAAATACGAAAAGTAATTGCCATCTCTTTTTCACTTATGGTTAGGCCAATCAAATATATTTTTCAACAAAGACATGTATCATAATCAAAATGGTTTGAATGGAAGCTATATCCCTGAATGCTGTTTATTACGGCAGATAACGTGCGAGGATTTCTAATGATCAACTAAAAGTTATGTACTTGGTAAACTCATGTTCCCAGCTTGTTCTTTTAATGGGATTAAAACTATGAATCATCGTGTAAGTTGTTATCTGATGCTGACACATTGGTCCTATTCTTTCCTCGGGCGAAACTTTCCCTTTGCTTCAGGAGAATCACGTCCTGAATGTGTAATTGAACATGGTTACATTTCAATGCATTTCTTAAATTGTATCAAATTAAAATAACAAACACAGAGAAAAGAGGCAGAAGAGACAAAAGATAAGCAAGATATTATTTTCCCCTAATTGTAATTATTCCCCAGGTCACACCCCTGCAAAAACTTCTAAACTATATAGTTTATTAATAAATAACTAAGTATTTCATAGAATCATAGAACATTAGAACTGGAAGGGATCTTGAGAGGTCAAGTCCAGTCCCCTACCCTCATGGCAGGACCAAGTGCCATCTAGATAATCCCTGATAGATTTCTGCCTAACTTGCTCTTAAATATCTCCTGTGATAGAGATTCCACAACCTCCCTAGGCAATTTATTCCAGTGTTTTACCACCCTGACTGTTAGGAAGTTATTCCTAATGCCCAACCTAAACCTCCCTTGCTGCAATTTAAACCTATTGCTTCTTGTCCTGTCCTCAGAGACCAAAGAGATCAGTTTTTCTCCCTCCTCCTTGCAAAACCCTTTTAGATACTTGAAAACTGCTATCATGTAGCTTACTGGCATATGATAAACTGCCATCTCTGTGTTCATCTATAATGGGGAATATTAATTAATTTATGTATCTGAATTTTTTTGATCTCATTAAGCATTCATTCTGGGGGTAAAAACTCGAATGAGTAACCACATTCAACTTTACCCTACTGCACATAGTGAGACTCCTTATGGGAGTAAAAACAGTGATTTATGTCAGTTTGGGCAAGATCAGATCCAGAAACAACAAAGTCCCAAATCATGTGAGGTGCCGAGCTCTCATCAACTTCAGCTGGGGTTGCAGATGCTGTAATCTTCTGGGAGTTGGACCATTCTTGTGTATCGCTGGGTCTGTATGGAGAAATGAAAGAGACAGTGAATAAATATTCAACCAAGGGATATTGATCAGTACACACCATTAGACTTATAGGAATTCTGTATGTTTGTTTCCAACTGAAACGGTGAATTGGCAGAGACTGAGTTATTATTGTAACTAAATCAGTGAACTATGAAAGTGCTGAATATAGTCTAGCGTCTACTCAGAAAATTGCCTGGGAGGTGGGGGAAGGAAACTTACCATTGATTAACTTGAAAAATAAAATTCTTCTGAGTCTGTTCTATAAACGCTGTGGTATTTTTTCACCGTTACTAAAAGGATTGCCCAGTATTAACAAAACCTTCCAATTGACTTTTAAGGTTAATAGCTAATATCCATTGAATTCTCGGGGCCTGGCTATTAGAATAGTGCAAAGTCCAGTGAACAGTTTTGGAAAATTGGAAATCTTCTTGGCAGGGGTAGAATGTTGTGAACCTTTTGTCCCCGCATTTTCCCTTTACCAGGGACACCAATTCAACGCCTCTCACCGTGAGTTTCCTCCCAGTCTTTCATTACCAGAGCTCCATGCCCCCTTGGTCAACTTGCTCCTAAAAACTCTTTCCTGTGCTTTCCTGCGTTGCGTATAAGGGGTGCGGGCATGTGTGTGTGTCTGTGTGTGTAAAACACAATTAATCCATTCATTCATTCATTAAAATAAATGAATGCAATGAAACCTCGGGCACACATTCCAAAAATAAGGACGTGATCTCATTACGGTAGCCCTCACCCTTTCCTCCCCTCGTTGTTCGTGGCTCTCACTTAGCGCCTCACCTCTAATGAAGCTGACATGAATATGCCCGGGCACAGGGAGCTGCCCAGGGAGAATCATTTGCAAAAGGAGGATCAGAGATTGTCAGCTTAGTTGCTTTGCAAACTTGTGTAAAAGGCTCGAACGTGGTTTTGAACGGTGCATAATAAATAACAGGGCACCTGATGTTGTGTGCTGAATAAACACTCCCTGCCATGTGGTGTTGGGCACGTATTGCTCGCCGCATTCGTCTGTCGTCTTTTGGATTCAATGAGGATTCTTGTACAAATAAAACAAGTGCTAGTCCCTTCTAATACATGTGTCCCTTGAGTTCTATTCCGGGTTATGCTTTATACACAAGTGGTCAACACTCATTCCCGTGCAAGAGAGCTGTGGTCTGTAAATTCTTTCTGCCCATTTGAGCCCTGCATTATGCACTTGAAGCAGTGGCCTAAGGGTTGCATAGAACTGTTGCGGCGACTGCCGTCTACGTTCCCTGGCCATGCTTCAGTGCAGCAAGGCCAATATCTAAGAGGTGAGATGCTGTACTCACCAAAGTCCCAAATGTTTTGCCTATGGAGGACTAAGAGTGGCTGACGATATTTTGAATAGGGACGGAATCGCGTAAGGCAATGGCTTTCAAACTTCTCGGCCCACGGCCCACGCTGCTCAACACAGACCTTTCTGCCGACCACCGGCCAATCACCCATGACAACAAAATGGGTGCAGGAGCAGCTTGAGGGCAGTTGGGTCTGGATGGGAGGGAGGGTGCAAGAGCAGGCTGAGGGTGGCGGGGTCTGTGAGGGAAGGAGGGTGGGCTCAGGAGTAGGCTGAGGGTGAGGGGGACTCTTGCAGGAGCAGGTATCTGAAGTGGATGGATGGCACTTTCCTGGCTCTGTGCCTCCCACCACTCCCAGGCACTGCCCCCCACTGCTCCCATTGGCCATGATTCTGGCCAATAGGAGCAGCAAAGAAGCCACTAGGCGAGCGGATTCCTGCACTGCCATTCCCGCAGCTGGGAGGAAGAGGCGCAGCAGCACCCGGAGTTGTTTCCCCCTCTCTAGCCAGATCTGATCCATGAGGCTCACCCTCCCTCACAGCCAGAAGTCATGGGGGGGAAGAGTCGCAGGGCTGGAGCGCCAGTACAGCCTCCCTGCCGCAGTGGAGGGGCTAGCCCCGAGCCCACAGCCCACCTGCAAAACAGTCAGATCACACTTCTGAGAGCCACTGGCGTAAGGTAATTGTGAAAATCTTTCAGGACTCAGTGTAAATTAATGAATCTCCATGGACTTCCAGGGAGCGATGCTAATTACGCTCAGCTGAAGAATTGGGCCTCCGCGCTCAATTGTATTTTCCATGTACATTAACAAATATCAGTTCAGGAACCTTATTGGGGGGGGGGGGGGTTTTTGTGTGTAATCTGGATGAGAGAGGCTCTTACTGTAAATACTACTTTATCATTCAAACCGCATGAAACTCTGACACACGTAGAGTGTAAATAAAGGCAGAGAAGGAGCTCTCAGTCGCAATTATCAAACACCTTGAGTGACAGCCTCCCCTTCTAGCCAGAATCGTTCGAGTTGTTGCATACAATTACAAAATGCTGCTTTGCATATTTAACGTGCCTGTCTCCTCTTTGTTTTCCTATCCCCAGATCTATTACAAAGTTATTAAAGAAATTGGGCCGGGAGAAGAACTGCTGGTGTATATGAAGGAAGGTGCCTTTTCACTTGGGAACATGCCACCTAGTTTGGAAGGTGAGGTCCTTGTTGTTAGCTAGCTCCTCTGTGCACCTCACAACCGGGGAGGGGAGGAACCAAAAGCACATCCTGTAAGAACCGAAGTTTGCCCTCTTGTGTGTTCTGTTCTGCTAACTGCAGGCTGTTCGGAGGTTTTACAGTGATACCTTTTCTCACTTGCATGGTGACAAATCTCCCTCTGTCAAAACAACAAGGTGCCCTGTGGTTCCTGAAAGACTAACAGGTTTATTTGAGCATACGCTTTTGTGGGTAAAAACCATTTTGCCAGATGTCCACAAAAGCGTATGCTCAAACAAATCTGTTCTCGCTGGTTATATTGGTTATCTTAGTCAGTGAAGTCTGAGCAAAACTTTTTTTCACTTAAGCACAGGAGCAGATACATGAACATATAATACAGGTTGAATGTCTCTAGTCTGACACCCTGGGATCTGACCAGTGCCGAACCAGAGAATCTGCCAGACCATGGGGGGTCAATATTGTCTAGCAGCATTACCAACACTTCCACTGCTTGCTGGGCTCTTAGAAGACACTGAGTGATAAATTAGAGCTAAATAACAGCACAGAACCCTGAGAGCCAGGACTGGTGGCTGTGAACAAACTTTATGGGACCAAAGGAAACTTGGTCACACCCATGATAAGTGGCTATCTGGCTAACTAACATCACGCCAGACACTGGATGTTGCTGGACCAGAGCGTGCCGGACTGAATAGGTTCCACCTGTATTAACGAACATTAGGGTTTGAATACGATAGGGGGCAACTCACTAATTCCCAAGGTGGCCATGGTGGTTTGTTTCCAGTCAAACTGAGCCAAACCATTATGAGATTTGCAAGCCAGGCCATGTTTTTAGATCATATGGCCAATGTGACCGGTGCCAAAGCTGGAACAGCCACTGCGCAGTTATACTGCGGCTGGCTCCGCAACATCCCCTGACATGCAGAGTGAGAAGCTGGGCGAATGTTCACAAATAAAGGGAACATCTTCATTGCTTCCGGCAATGCATGTCTTTTTTGGCAGCCGGTTGGAATGGCAGGTGAGGGGCCTGGATCACCTGGCTCACTGAGTGAGCAAATTGTTTAGGGGATGTTGCAGGGCTCATTGAGCCGACCTACGGGTTAAGCATTTGTATTGAGCTCTTACATTCGTATGGTCAGTTCCCCCCCTAAATAGATGGATACTAATTATTAAAGTTCAGCCACCGCACAGCACGGCTAACGAGTTGTTACATTTTCACAGAAGAGTGTTTCATAATTAGTTACTGCACGGAATGGTCAGTCCTTGGGTTCTGCTTCTGTGTGTTCCACAAGCTGACAATGTGAAATTAAAGGTAACTTGCAAAGGGGGGAGAAAACCCAAATTTGTGTCCTCATCCCCATCTTCCCCCTTTTATGATGTTTAAAGATGGCCCGGAAATGGATTTTCCAGATCAAAGGGAGAGAGGTTTCTGATTGTATTTCATTAGATAGAGAGGGCTTATCTCCAGGGAAATACTCTGCGACTATTGGAGAACTAGTGATATGATAACATCATGAAAACAAAGAGCCCTGCTCTATACCAAGACCTTATTCCCAAATAACCCCCTCTCAAGGTTGAATTTATAAGCAGTGTGTCCATACTATCAAGCCCGTTATTTCAAAATAAGGGGCCTCAGAATTCAAACTCTGTACTCCTGCTTTTCACGAGGAGTGACACTAATTCTGAAACAGTAATAAATAATAGTGTGGGAGCTCCGATGCTGCTAATTCAAACTTACTGGCATCCGGGAGGTCTCCTGCAGTTCCCCGAGTTTGCTTCCTGGCTCTCTAAGTTGAGGTAGCGTGTCCACATTAATGGAGCCTGCCTCGGATTCATTGCGATGCTTCCCCATAGTGAGGACATGCTAGTTTGAATTTTTTAAATCGGGTGTTTTTAAGTCGAATGTAGTAAATTTGAAATAGCTTCTTAGCGTAGTCATGGCCTGGGTGAAAAATGGAGCAGTTTTGGGGTGGGGAGGAAAAATAGTTGGACTACTTACAACTTTGACTTTGGACTAAGAAGTGTTTTTTTTTTAAACTGGATTTTTATATAGGTGACATGAATATAATTTTTTTTTTAAGTTGCTGGTGCTGCGCATGGTCAGAGATGGATGGGCCTTTGGTCTTACCCAGTCTGACAGTTCCTAAGTTTCTATGTTTTGTTTTGTCTTATTAATACCTACTAAACACAGTGACTAACATTAAAAGGTCAGTACCCCCTCTCCTTGAAGTGACACAGCTCACAATACAAAGCTCTGAGGGATGAAAGTGGTCTCCCCACAAAAACAAGGACGACCAGACATGTTGTTTCTGGTAAAAGCCTAAGCCACAGAAAACCAATTTGAAAATGTAACCTTAGAAGCCTCCTTTTAAGAATCAAAAAAGGACACAACCCACCTCTTTAAAAAATCCTTTGCAAGTCACATGTGAAACAATTAACTCACTAGAATGCTAACATGAAGGGCTCTGTGCTTCCCAAATAAAAGTTACTATAAGGGGTGTTAAAGAACTAACTAATATATTTTATTTTATTTATTTATTGTTTTAGTTTGGCTTTAATTTGGTGACAATGAAAGTTAAAGAAAATGAGAGGGTGGATGAATTATATAGTGACCAATCTGAATTTAAAAAGAACAAGTAGTCCTATGGAACCTTAGCCTGGTCTTTACAAAAACTTTATTTTGAAATAATCCCCCCCAAGGTCAAATTTATAAGCCGAGCGTCCACACTCCCAAGCCTGTTATTTTGAAATAACGGGCCACCGAATTCAAAATCTGTACTCCTGCTGTTCTTCAGGTGCAACACTAATTCTGAAATACTTATCTCGAAATAACAGTAGTGTGGGTGCTCTGGTGCCACTATTTCAAAATAACAACTACCCATAGTAATTTGAACTAATTACCACCCAGTACTTCCTGAAGCTCTAAGTCTGAGGTAGCGAATCCAATTAACAGAGCCAGCCTCAGACTAATTTCAAAGCTTCCCTGCAGTGTGGACAAACTAGTTCGAATTTGTTAAATTGGGAGTTATTAAGTCAAATTTAGTAATTTTGAAATAGTTTACTAGTGTGGACGTGGCTTTAGAGACTAACAAAAATATATATGGTATCATAAGCTTTCACAGGCAAAACCCACTTCATCAGATGATGAGCTGGTGGGGAATAACAGAAATCAAGTATTTTATAGCTAGTAAAATACAATAAAAAGGTACTTGTCAGTTGTAGGACCAGTGCTAATGAGGCTAATTAAGTGAGCTGAAAATGTCCCAGACTTAGTTTTTGAAGTAAAAATGAGGAGTTAAATGCAGAGAAGACTGAATTTAGTTTATCTTTTCTGTTTACACATTGACTGCGGGAATGGTTCATGATTGGTGCAAACTTCTTCACTATTATTTGATGAGAGATTTATACAAATTTATTTAATCTTATGAATTGCTCATGGGCTATTTGCCTATTATGTTACCTAATCAATACTTGAAATCAAAGTTATTTCGATTGGGCATTCTGGTCACATGCTGGGTTTTGTTCCTTACTGGGTAGATTAATTTAACTCCTGCTTTCAGAATTCTCATGCAAATATTTAGGGCTCTAAATGTAAACTCCACTTTCTGTGCATATTCTTCAATAGTTGTTTGATATTTGCTGTCTGAATGAACGGTTCTACCAAAAACCTCTTTTGCTAAGGGTATTCTGAATGAAAAAAAAGGGTCCAAACACAAATGATACAAATTAACTGCGACATTCCGGTTCATATTTTTGAATTGGGTTTTTCAGTAGCCGCTCAGAAATACCAATGCTATTCTTGAGAGCAAGACAGAGCAGTGAGTATTTTTTCCCCTTAAAATAATGGCATAAAAACTAAATATACCTTTGAGAATTTCTGTAAAAAAAAAAAGGCGCAAAACCAGGAAGAAAACTCAAAGCTGCTTAGTTGGATGTAGGATGATCTGTTTGGCTTCAAAGATTAGTTTTTAATTGACATTTATTTGAACAAGAAAAAAAACCACCTCGTTCCCTACAATATGCCTTTGTTGTCATTATATAACATTTATCTACATCCTTCCAATAATGTGTCATGCTTTTGCCCGGTAATTGCTTCTAAATTGTAATAGCCCTACATCCAATATTTGTCTTTTTAATACTTTGTCACCTTCAGTAATGATTTCCTCCTCCTGTCCCAACCTCCCCTCACCCCCCTTTTCAGCTCTGAATTGCACAAAAAACAAAATGCAAAAATGTTCCGCACAAAGATAATTATCAGAAAAATCTTTTCTCCAAACCTCAGCGGCATGCAGTAGACCCCTTATCACTGCAGGAATTTTGAGTAGGGCTCTTGAACTCCTTTGAGACTTGAGGCTGGTAGATTAGCATGTAGATGCCACATAATTGTGTTCCCCTTGGTTTCTCTGAAAGCTATTAGGCA